GAATAATAAAAAAAAAAAAAAAAAAAAAAAAAGAAAGAACGCACAAGGTAGAAAAATTGTTGAGAGCAAGAGACAAAAGCTGAAAAGAATCCATCCCCAGCATAAAATGAAAAGTGAGAAATGAGTGTTTGGCACCGCGGGTGAGTGGCTGAAGGTCCGAGGAGGAGCTGTGGCTGGAGAGGCTTGACGCCCGGGATAGCAATTGGCGGGAGACGACAGGGAAGACGATGGCCAAGGGATGCCAATCAGCGACATTTCGATGCGCCACAGTGAAATTCCCTGCAGTGTCAAGCATGCAGTCACGTATCCACGTTACTGATATGTACATACTGTAGGTATGTATGTACGTACGGTACAGGTACCAGCAGGTTCGGCACTGTGCTTATTATGCGCACCACCGGAAAGGAATAGGCACGCCAAGGACACTGCACTGATAACTCATTATTATATCTTCGTATTACCGGGCTGTGACGAAAGCCACAGTTAACGATTTGTCCACTTTTACTCCTACTACTGCGACTAAAAAAGGACATTTTGCTCCGGACAGCCTTTTGGACCCTCGAACATCAACCCTGCAATCCCAACAGCACAGCACTCATTCATCATTCTCAGAAGACATTTTCCCTTCTTGTTCCTTCCATCTTCCCGGCTACTTGGATAGAGTTATGCTCCATCAAAGTCCCGTCCACATTACAAAGTCATAGACACCGTCTAGACCCTCTAGTAGCATTCGACCGCCATCTCCCTCGAACCCGCTTACCATCATCCATTCCCCGGCTAGCAGTGTCTAGTACAGAACCGAAGAGGGTACCATCAGCACCACCAGGCACACCAGGCGCTGCGAAAACGCTGTCTGCGGCTCCAGGTAATTCCAACTCTCCCCAGACGTATTCCTCCCCTCCACATCCGCCTCGTGAGGGCTTCTTTTTCTGCTTCTTCTTCTCTCAACTTATCATTTCTTCCTACCAGAGCTGGCCCATCGACCCCTCTCCGCTCGTCTCCAGCAGATCCGATCCGTTTGACATTTCGACATCTAGATACCACCCCGCCCTGCATCCCGGATCCGCCGCCGCCGTCAAGAAACCGCTAACTAGTTCGCTGCCTGTTCTCATCGTCGCCGCCGCCTCTGGCACAAAGTGACACCCAGCCCGCCCGGGAACTGCTGCGTCCGGACGAACCAGCCTGCCAGATGCCAGTGCCAGTGCTGGCGCGCCTGGCTCCTCCATCATGTCCCAGGGACACCCACCGCCGCCAAACGGCTACGCAGCCTTCCAGAACATGAACCTACACTTCCTCCCTGATGCCTCCGCCTCTCAGCACCCCGTCATCATGTCCTCCGCCCCTGTCGGCCCTGAGGACCCCGGCGCCTTTGACAGCGACGAGGCCATGCGCTTCGCCGACGCCCAATTGTTTGGCGAGTTCACCTCGGACCTGGGAATGGGTGCCTTTGGCTCTGCCGACCCGTCCCTTGGCGACGCTTTCAACCCTGACTTTGCTCTCGAGTCCATGATGGGCAATGGCCACGCCAACCCCGTCAACCCGCCTGCCGCCGCCGGTACCGGACCCGAGAATATGCCCAGAGAAGACCCGACCCCGGTCGACGGTCCTCCCCAGCCCATGCAACTCACCAACCCCGGCACGAGCACCCTCAACGAGTTTACCAAGCGCCGAAACTGGCCCGCCAAGATTGTCGAGGAGTTGCGCGACTGGCTGCAGATCCTCGATGCCAACGGTCGCCTCAAGTTCGTCTCCCGCAGCGTCGCCGACCTTGCCGGCTACGCCGAAGATGACTTGCGCGACGTCTTCCTCAAGGACATGATACACCCCGACGACCAGGGCGTCTTTGTCTCCGAACTCAACGAATCCATCGCCTCCGGCAACCCGCTGCGCATCTTCTATCGCTTCAAGAAGAAGGACGGCCGGTACACCATCTTCGAGGCCGTTGGCCACGCCCACATCGCCGCCGCAAAGTTTGCGCCTAACCCCAGCAACCAGTCGCCGTTTTGCCAGGCCGTTTTCATGGTCGCGCGCCCGTACCCCACCCGAAACGCCGCCCTCCTCGACTCCTTCCTCGAACACAAGATTGAAAACGAGCGCCTCAAGCGCCGGATCGCCGAGCTGCAGCGCGAGGAGCAGGCGGACGCCGACGAGTCTCGTCAGCAGCTCTCGCAGACCATGAGCCAGTCCGCGCCGGGCTCCAACATGGCCCCCTCCGAGTTTACCGGCCCGTCCTCCACGCCGCTGCACCTACCCGGAAACGGCGACACACCCATGTCGGGCACGTCCGACGGCCACGCCATTTTCAACGGCGCACTCACGAGAGAAAATCTGGAGGGGGCATCCGTCGCCGGTCGGCGGGACTCTTTGCGTGATAAGATGGCGCGCTACGAGGGAGCCTCCCACATCGAGACGATCGAGATGCTCACCGGCTTGCGCTACGTAGAAGGTGAGCGCAGCCACGGCATCACGACAGGAAACACCAGCCCCGCGCTGATCAAGGGCGATGCCGGCATCGCGATCCCCAAGGATCGCGACGGCCGACTCGGCGAGAAGAAGAAGAAGCTCAAGGTGTCGGAGGAATACGTCTGCACCGACTGTGGTAAGTTTTCAGCTTTCAATCTGATACTAACTGGCCCCCGAAATCTCTTCTAACTGGTTTGCTTCACCAATCAGGCACGCTCGACTCTCCCGAATGGCGCAAGGGACCCAGCGGGCCCAAGACGCTCTGCAACGCCTGCGGCCTTCGCTGGGCGAAGAAGGAGAAGAAGCGCAGCAGAATGCACGGCGGCTCCCAAGCAGCGCTCTCGACAGACTTGGGCCCTCCAAGCTGACACGACGGACCACAATCATCATCACCAGGTCCTTTAATCCATGCCCTCCCTCTCCCGGACGAACAACGAACGACCCATTCATTACTGCTACAACGACAGCCCTGAAATATGGGCAACTTCGAAAACCCCGAGCGATAGAACAAAGGGATATCATAATCTTTTTTTTTTTTTTGGAAAACGAAAGCCATTACACAAGCGACAAGATTCTGGCGTATTGATTTTTTTTGCAAACGGTGCATTGGTGTTTCTCTCTTCTCTTCTTTTTCTTTTTCTGCATTCATAGGCGCTACATTATACCAGAGTAGTGCTGGGATGCATTCATGCATGTTTACGAAATGACGGCCGGCGCACACGAATAACGGCCTATGTGTTTATCTGTGTCGTTCTTTCTCGAACTTTTTTTTAGCCATGTCAGCTATGGACTGGGCGGTGGTGGTACAGTACACGATCTAGCTCGCGAAGGAAGCAGCGGGAATCATGGAGTGGGATATCATTATACATATGCCTGGGTATCTTGAATAAAATAATTAAAAAAGGGAATCGTTTGTTCCTGAAAGAGGACAAGTGGTTGATTTACACGTCGAAGCAGCCATTCATGCCCTGTAAATGCTGCAAAAGTCCGAATTCATCTAGCAGGGCAAGGCCTGGATCGATGCCATCAAACGGCGAGGTCGACGTCAAGACGAGTTCGCTAGCACGCGGAGACATGGTCGTGCCGAGCTTCTTAAATAGGGCGTCGAGGATGGACGAGATACGCCGTGCTTCGGCTGATACAGCGCTTCCCCTTTGCCAGATGCCGTGCGAGCGCCGCAGTGCCGCTTCGATGACCTGCGGCTCGGGAAGAAGCGTTTCGTCGTCGTCGTCGTCGGCGCCATCAAAATCATCGCCTCTGGCTCCGTAGCTGCCACTACTGGTACTCTCCATGACTGCCTCGAGCAGCGGGGAGCCAAACGGGCCGGCGACGACGCGGTACATGTGCCGGCAGAGCAGGACGGTGCTCGTGAGGAACTCGTGCTTGAGGACGGATGATGCCTGGATGCGCTGCGGGAAAAGCGCACCGCCGGGGCGGGACTCGCCTTCCATGATGGCCTGGTAACCTAGGACCCTGAGCGCGGCGCGGATGCACACAACGTACGAGCGTCGGGCGTACGCCCCGTCGGCGGCGTCAACGTCGGCGACGCGAAGGTGTTCGGCCTCATCGCGCGCGTCGCGCGCCATCATGCGCCGCCAGTGGATAGCGATGAGTCCCTTTTGCAGCAGCGCGCCAGCGCCGATACGATGGATGACGTCGGCGGCCCTGTCGGCGACACAGCCGAGCATGCCGGTGAACTTGCACTGCTCTGGTAAGCCATCGTACGTGTCCTGTATGAGAGCGGTCAGCTCCCGCTCGCGCGCGACGGTCAGCGGCGGGCACTCGGGCCCGACGCTCATGTTGACGTCGGTTATAGTGCCGATGACAACGAACATGCGATGCTTGGATATGAGGTGCAGGGTCGGGGTGCGATCGGACCAGGGGCGCTCGGGTGGCAGCTCAGCGCACCCGGGCACCAGGTCGGCGTCGTGCAGGTTGCGCGGCAGCTGGACGTCGGCGGATCCGGCCTTAATGAGGCGTGGCAGGCCCATTTGCGCCGAGACCATGATGTCCATGCCGTGTATGGTAATCCACAGCCGGCGACGGGTTTCGCCTTCGAAGGCACCAAGGGACGGAAAGTGAGAGGGGTCGCGGTGGTAGCCCATGCGGTAGGCGAGGCGGGTGACGACGCCGGAGAGCAGCCAAGCGTCAGCGTGACCGTCGGCGGCGCTGGCGACCTCTATGAACTGGTAATGCAGCAGGGCCTCGAGTGCGTGGGTGCCGCCTTTGGTGTACTCGCCGAGGAGGAGGCACGCGACGACCTGGTCGACATAAGGGGGTGTTTGTAGCGGGAACGGCGAGGAGAGCGGCCCGGGAGGCTGGGATGGAGCGGGAGGAGGACTGCGGGAGGAAGACGGGTGAGGAGGTGGAGGAAAAGAGCCGTAGAGGGACCATGCGGCTTCTGTCTGGCTGGCGATGCTGATGATGCCGAAGAGTAGGGCGATCCAGAGTATTGGCGTATCGTGGGGTGATTTCCAGAATTTCTCATACTAGTAGACGTTCAGATTGTTAGTCCAGACGAAGGGGATCGACGACAGCCGTTACGGCAGGATTGGGTTCCCATACCTGGGAGAGAAAACTCCCGGAATGAATGACGGCGACTGGAGTAGAAACCATGTATGTTAGTCTCTCAACGGAGTCATAGATATATATGATTCAAAGACGGAAATCATACGTGGAAGCATCGAGTTATTAAAGTATAGCAGCACCAGGCGGTCCACATCATCACGCGGCGGCATCGCCCGCAGAATCTTGTCGAGCGACTGCTTCCTGTTTCCGCCAAAGAGCAGCTGAAATCGCCTCTTGCCGTGCGTTGCAAGCGTCGGCGTCGGCATCTGCTGTAGGGGCGATTGGTGAGGGCTGGTGGCGTCGGTCTCGGCCTCGTAGTATTGGTTGTCGCTCTGATCGCCGGGGAAGAAGTCATCGTTGTCGTCGCCGTCGTCGTCGTCATCGTAGTGTTCGCCAGTCGTCGCAGCCGCTGGCCAGAAGCTCTTGAGTTCCGAGAGGCCGCTGAGGACGGCGCTCCAGTGCGGGCTGCTGACGTAGGCGCTCTTGGCGCTGTCAATCTGTAGCTTCCCGACATCGATGTGCGCGTGAGAGGAGGAGGAGGATGGTGCGGGAGGCGGGGGCGAGGTCGTAGACGGAGGCGTCGTCGTCGCTGTGGTGGGGGAAGCGCGAGGCTCGCCTCCTAGAGGCTCGGCGCATCGGGCGCATAGCTGGGGAGCGGCTGCGGTGGGCTTGTCGGGACGTTGGTCCTGCTGGAGGAGCTGCACGACAAGGCCCTCGAGGTGATTGATGCGGTCTTGGAAGCTGCCAGCAGCTGTGGTGGTCGCGGCGGTGGCTGGTGCAGGAGGGACCTTGCTGTTGTCGGGGAAGACGCACGAGGAGGCGAGGCCGCGGGAGGAACAATTCCAGCAGGGCTGCACGCGATTGCATCGAAGTCTGGATGGGTGGTTAGTGTTTGCTCCTGATAATTCGATGTACTCGACCAAGAAAAAAACACCTGCTTTCTCTTGCGACACAGATTACACGACAGCTGGACCTTGTCCCTGCGCCGCTTGGCAACCCGCTCCTTTTCTGCATTCGTAGACATGGTTGGGCCTGGCCTGTTTGTGCTGTACCGAGGCCGTGAAAATATATGCCTGTCCTATTATTTCTGTTTGAAGGAGAAGAAATAGAAATTTTGACCAAGGTGAAGTTTTCAGCCCGTGATGGACGGTAGGTGGGATGTGGTGAGAGTAGAGAGTAAGCTCAGCCGCATGCCGTCATTGGCAAGGCTGCCCTACCAGGCAGGTGTATGTAATAAACTAATGTACGTGGCGGGGGGGGGTCGGAGGGTCGGAGGGTCGCTGGCCGGCCTGATACATACTGTAAAATAATTACCTATTATTATGGGCAGTTCTAGTTCAAGATTTCGGCGGGCCAAGGTTTGGCAGCGAACCCACGTCGGGCATGTTACTTCCAGAGCAACAGAGTCAGTCTCATGTGGCTTTAGCGCCCTAAAATACACAGAATGTTATAGTGCCTCTTGGCTTGCACGCTGATGGCACAAAATTGACACAAAATGTCCGCCCTTCGTAAAGCCTTCCTTCGCCGGCTGCTTCTCCATCAACAATCACAGCAGGCCCCTGCTGCCTCTTTGCTGGTGGTCCTCACAGCTCTCTTCTCCATCGCATCTCCCCTCTCCCTCCCCTCTCACACCCTGCCCCAGCTACAGCTAACACAAAGCGCTCCAAATATCTCCGTCATTGGCCACAGAGTTGCAACAAGCCGATATGAGTGGTACGACTGAGAAACCACCCCGCCCATTCGCCCATTGCGTAGCCTCCCTTCTCCCCTGCGTAGTGCTGCCAAGCTGCTCCATAGGTAGGTACATACATAGCTACCTAAGAACTGGGTCGTTTATTTTTTTCAGCAGCTCAGGGGACGAGCTATGATGCACAGAGACGTGTCCATGCTGCTCCGAGGTACCTAGGGAGATCTGAAATTAGCCTCGTCATGGCCAGCTCATTGAATAAGTGCCCCTCCTCCCCTCCTCTTCTCGTCCTACTTGCTTGCTCCTCTCTTCCCTCATCTTTAGACAGCCCAACGCATTCATTCAGTTACCTTGGAAATTTGCTACTCCTTGTTCATTTGATACCCTCTACTACCAATCAAAATGGATTCCCTCCTCAGCGCCGGCAAGGACTTTCTTGCTAAGAGTAAGTCGACAGAGCTCGGGAAGCTTCATCACTACCCCTCATCGGCCGACGGCCCCTCGCTTAGCGGCCGCCCCCCGAGACCCCGGTTTCTTTTCCATGGCAGACACTCTACGGTGTCGATGCGATTTCATCTCTATGAAAAGGGAATTAAAAAAAAAGGAATAAATGCGGGTGACAGAGAAGAGCATCAGAAATAAACTAATCGATTAAATCTTCCAGACAGCAACAACGGCGGCAGCAACAACAACAACAACAACAACAACAACAACAACAACAACAACAACAACAGCAGTAGTAGCAGCAACAACCAGGGTGGTGGCAACAGCGATCTCTTCACCAGTGTCCTCAGCTCCCTCACCCACAAGGAAGATGACTTGAAGAACGGTGACGTCGACGAGAAGGGTATTTTTTTCCTCCCCCCCGCAACTGACACCACATCCAGCCGGAACCTTACAATTAACCCTCTCTTTCCTAGACGCCGCCGACAAGCACGACCAGGTCTACAACAAGGGCGACAACAACACCAGCGTCAACGCCATGGGCACCGCCGCTGCCATGCAGGCCCTCAAGAAGTTCACCTCTGGCGGCAAGGAAGAGGGCGGCAACAAGAACGACTTTGTCAGCCTCGCTATGGGCGAAGCCAGCAAGGTAAATCCCCCCTCCCCGTCTCTGCCCCGTGGGAATGCAAAGAGGCTAACCACACACCCACCACATGTAGCTGTTCGACTCCAAGGCCGCCGACGGCAGCGTCGCCAACGGCGCCGAGAAGAGCTCCGTCATCCAAAAGGCCGCCGAGGTCGCCATGAAGCTCTACTTCAAGTCTCAGATGCAGCAGAGCGGCGGCGGCCTCGGCGGCCTCGCCAACATGGCCTCGCAGTTCATCAAATAAGCGGACGACAAAGTGATGGCGTACGCCGTACTCGACCGGGCATATCCAAACAAGAAAATATATTAAGATTATGGTTCGACGTCAAATTTCTCAACACGTGAAAGAAAAACTGCTGTGACAAAAAAAAAGACAGATTGGTGTAGTTACCGGACAAGTTTGGTTTGTACGTTTCCGCTTCACTGCGGGCACGACCTACTCTATACCGCCTGCTTGGCAGCCAGACCCAGTACGTCGACCCAAGTTTCAGGCCTCCTGCGGCCGTCCGGGTAGACCTCGTGCAGGTACGTCTCCGCGTCGGCCGCCCACGCGAGCAGCGCCTCCTCGGCGCCCCATTCGCCCGTCGCCATCATGCCGACGCACACCTTGCCCTCGCCGCGGTCCGGCTCGACGAACGCGACCGGCGCCGTCACCGCGGGCAATCCCGTCATGTTGGCCAGGAAGACGTAGATCATGCTCAGGAAGGTCTTGTCGCCGTCGCTAACGCCGTGCTTGGCGTGCCCGGGCCGCTTCTCCCAGCCCAGGAACGGCGCCGTCGGCGTCAGCACCAGCAGGCCCGGGTACGTCTGGAAGAGCCAGGCCATGTGGCGCATGAGCAGCGTCCGCATCGAGTTGTGCTTGAGGAGGTCCGCCGCGTTGGTCTCGAGGCCCAGCGCGAGCACCAGCCGGTTGACGGGGCCGATGAGGCTCGTCCAGTGCGTGCCGTCGCCGCCGCGGCGCCGCGCGGCCTCGGTCATCTCGGAGATGGTCACGCCGCCGTGCGCCGTCTGCGCCTCGTCAACGTACGGGATGGTGATGTCCACCAGATCGTAGCCCTGCGCGGTGAAGTGCTTCAAGGCCTTGTCGCAGGCGGCGACGACGCGGGGGTCGGATGCGGCCCACCAGGCGCGGTCGACGCCAATGTACTTCTTGCTGCCGGCGGCGGGCGGCCGCGACACGGCAAACTTGCTTTGCATGGACGTCTTGGGGTCCGGCTGCGACATGATGCGGTAGGCAATGGTCAGGTCGGCCACGTTGGCAGCCATGGGGCCGGTCACGCACATGGTGCTGTTCATCTCGAGGGTGCGGTGATGGGTCGGCTTCAGGCCGTACACGCCGTTGTAGACGGCTGGGAAGCGCACGCTACCGCCGGCGTCGGTCCCCACGGCGATGGGAATGACTCCCGCGCCAAGGGAAGAGCCGGCGCCGGATGATGAGCCACCAGGGTAGTACTGATTGTTAAGGTGATTCGTCGGTGTGCCTTGGAGAGGCTGTGCTGTTTGTTAGCTCCTTCACTATCATCCAAGTGCATGTCGGCCCAGACTCACATTTAAGCCATTCGTGTCTGCAGAAGCTGTTAGCACACCAAGGTAAAGAAGCGTTCACGGAGCCTTACCTGATCCCAGCTCATGCATTCTATTCTTTCCAATGACGACCGCTCCGGCATCTTGAAGGGCATGGACCGGCCATACGGTCTCCTCCGCCGGTTTAAAGTAGGCAACGCCCTTCTTGTAGGCCATGCCGTCGTGGTCAATGTAGCCTTTGACTGAGAGATCGTCCTTGACGCCAATCGGAACACCATCCAATATGCCGAGAGGGGTGCCGGCGGCCCATCGGTCGGTTGACGCCTTGGCTGCGTCGAGGGCGAGCTGATCGGCACCGTGGGAGTCGGCCCAAGCATCTTGGTAGACGCAAGACTCCTTGGCGTATTTGCTGGTGAGAGACAGGAGAGTCTGTGCAACTTGCAGGGGGGTGACTTGGCCAGACTTGTACATGGCGTGGTAGTCGCTGGCGGTATAATGATGGGCGTCTCCTCTGTTTTTGGGGCTGAGCTGCGCTTCGCCCAGCTCGATCATGCGGGCATTATCGCCCAGTGGAATTACAAGAGGCTGCGAATTCGGTGAGACAATGGGTCAACAACAGTTTTCATCGCACAAAAATGCTCACATGAAAGGTGTATGGGACCTCATCGAGGAAAGGCAGGTCCTTTATCTTTTGCAAGCCCGCGTTGTTGTAGAAGATCTTGGCCAGGAAGGAAGAGTGAGTTAGACTGGCGGCGACGGCGTTTGCGCGTGCGTGAGTCAGTCAATTCATCGACGGTACGGGACATGTAGACATTTGGAGGAGGGGATGACGCGCAGACATACAGGCTCGAGGCGATGACGAGTGGCAGACCGGAGAGGACGGGATTGGCGTCCTTGCGCGGCTGATACTTGGGCGAGCGGACCTCTTGGGCATCTGGGTAGGACAGGAAGCCCTTTGGCGGCGGGAGGGACTTGTCGGAAGGCATCGTGAAGTTTTGGGGGTATCAATTGATGGGACAGCTTGGAAGAAGGCGCAGGGTGAGATCTGGGGATGCTTGGCTGGCGTAGGGAACCCTTTTCTTGGCTGAGCCATCGAGCGAGAGGACCCTGGCGCGTCGGTCGGGGAACCGGCCTGGAGCCTGCAGCCGTACGTATGTGCTGTATGTACTGTACTGTAGCTGGTTAGTACAGCACTAACGTAGCGGGCTAATCCGTTCTGTGATGCGATCCACCCCTGCAGTTACTGGTACGGGTAATTTATTGCGAGTTTACCTAGGCACCGAGGTACAAAGGAGAATAGCTCTAATAAGTCACCTATGTACCTACATACATACATACATAGTACCCTAGGTATGTATGTATGTATGTACGTATGTAGGTAGTTACTGTTGAAAGTCTGATCTCTACGAACGGTCCGGGCTGTGGTTGGGTTAAAATTAGGTACCTATGTATGTACAGTAGGTAGTGAGGCAACTATCAATTGTTCGCTCGTAGAAAATCCATCTGATGTTGGCCCCGTAATTTTTGCTCCCTTTCAAGATGTCTCTTGGTAGCCTTACTCGCACTTCAAATGGGCAAACGTTGGATTGGTGAACCTCTCTATTTCGCGACTTCTAACTGCATGCAAGATACCTTGAGCATACCCGTAATCAACAATCCTGTTTACAGTTGATTCTGTCCCGAACAGAGGCTACCTAGCCAGTAACAACCAGCCACCTTTTCTTTTTAAACCCGCCCTACGAGCCCCTTTGAACTTGCCATAATAGCCGCCGTGCCGTCTCATAGCCAACTGTTCCGAGACTCCGCAACTTCAATCCGCAAAGCCATCATTCCACCATTTCCAGTCGGCATCCAAGTCTGATGGCGAGTCGGCGGTCCATTTGTCGCGCACTCTAATGGCGGGCCAGGCCAAGAGAGGCAAGCCTCGCGCTCTGCTCATCAGTCAACGGAGGAAGCTTCGAAGGGTCGACAAGTCCATTCTGGTGTAAAACTTCCTCGGGGTCCTGTCCCTGCGGCCGGTCAAAAGGAAGAAGGTCGTTAACCTGGAAATCATCGTCATTAAAGTCCGGTCCAAGCAGGCCTTGAGGGAAGTCTTGTCTCTTCTGTCCCACTGGACGCAAGGTCGAGGGGTCGCCAAGGCCAGTGAAGGGGCTGAGAAAGGCGTCCGGGTCAGTCTCCGGGACGGCACCGCCGAAGCCTCCCTGGGAGCTCGAGAACTCGTCGTCATCAAAGTCTGGTCCAAGCAGGCCTTGGGGGAAGTCTTGTCTCTTCTGTCCCACTGGGCGCAAGGTCGAGGGGTCGCCAAGGCCAGTGAAGGGGCTGAGAAAGGCATCCGGGTCAGTCTCCGGGACGGCACCGCCGAAGCCTCCCTGAGAACCTCGACCAGAGCTGCCGCCAAAGTCGCCGAAGGCTCTCTTCGTTTTGGACAATTCATAGTTGCGGCCGGTAGATTTTGCCGGAGCTCTCCTCGCCACGGGACCAGCCGCGACGAATCCAGTAAAAACAGCAAGAGTCACTGAGAACTTCATTGTGTAGCAAGTTTAGTAAACAAGGAAATATGGAAATGAGTAAGAAAACGTGGAAATAAGTGAGGAGATGTAGAAAGAGGATGTTGGTTTATACTACAGCTCATTAACAAAGTCAAGCAAAGGGGACTATATATATACTCAACGACTATGATCTTCAAGAGGTATATCAACATTGCATGGAAAGAGTATCTGCAAATTTTGGCAACTCCGTACAAAACGGTATTACCAGAATCGCCTGTGTCTCATGTCACTTGGAGGTTCTTGCGACACCACCAGCACTCACAGCTGCATGATTGAGGCGTGGCAATGTGTGATTGCATTGCGGGCAACCGCATGAAGTTTATGTTTCGATTACATCCCACGTGGCTGGCAGGTCTCAGAATCGTCGTAGTGCGCACGTTGCGGGGTGATGACGCTCGTATCGCGCGCCCGCCCAACGGACTTCCTACAAGTCTCAGGTTGCGCCGCTACAAACTTCTCGCTGACTACTTTTCCAAAAGAACGGTATTCTAGAACAAGATTGAGACCTCCGAGGCCAGCGCCCGTTATAGATTCTTTGCCAATGCCGCGCGCATCTTTTGCGGCTGACACGGCGAGCATGTCCGAGCCCGTTCCCGATGGGTCATCCCATCTCTTCTCCCGACTTTGCCTCATCACCGCTGCACTTCAGACGCGTACCAATAATCCAGAGTAGCTTGGCTTGAAAGGACCAAAAAAGCCACTCGGGCGCTCCTCGGCCGTCGCTTGGTTTTCGCTTAAACAATGCGAGCCAGCTTTTCTAAACAGAAAAGCACACCGGCGTAGCCAACGGCCACTGCAACGGAGTAACCTCAGGTCGGGGCCAAAGGGGCCGGGCATGATCTCAACGCCGAGCTCACCGGCTTCACCGGCCTTGAAATCATGGGCTATGTTTTGTCTGGGATCCGGAAAGCGGAAATGGCAATGGAGACCCTTGGCGCGTATGCAAAGCATCTTCTGCGGCTCGCTTGTGGCGATAGGACGGGAGAAGTGCCGCGATGCCTAGGATTTCCCGGTTTTTGGCTTCAAGCAATAATCGGGGTAGCAGTATTCCGCTTGACGATAACATGTCAGGCTCTGTAGATGACAGTATGGTAGCCTGTTTCGACAGCAGGCCTTCCATCCTGCCCTTCGTCGAGGCTTCCAATCATCCATGGTGTTTCGGTGCGAGGGTTGATACATGCAAGCACCTGGCCATGAATTTTAGTGTGCCATCAGGGGCCTTGATGCATTCTGGCGCATCCTGCACCATTTGTTGATCTGCAGCCTTGAGGTAGCGGCTTGCTGGCCATCCTTGCGAGCAACAACATCATCGCTCGACAGAGTGAAAATTCCGCATCCAAAAGAGGCATTATACGTGCAGACTCTGTAACAGCGCAAATAATGGCCGAGAATAATAGCTGGAAATAGGATGTTAAAGCGGCCGGCGGCTGCTCCGTTCCGACAGTTATCTGCCGAGTGCCCCCCGACGGTTTCGTCAACGACTGGGGGTTACTTATGGAGGCGAGTGCTATCAGGGTTGGGAGTCCTCTGCATGGATTTTGACTCTGACGGGCTTTCCATCTTGTACAGAGAAGTGCTTCGTAGTGTGTGTATGAGTATGAATAGCTGTGCTGTGTTACAACTGAGAATGCCACTAAGTCCAGGAACAAAGTCCTTAGCACAACCCGAGTCACATAGGTGGTAGAAGGGTCAGTCGTTAATATCCATGGCCGCATTGTTACCAGGTAAACAGGCAACTAGCTGTGAACCTTCGAGTGAGTTGAACAAGTAGTTACAAGGAAGGTAAACACTGGTAATAAAAGGTACCGGGTAGCCTTTGAATTGTGTGACGTCGATGGCTCACAAAATTTCCATCCCCCTCCGTGCAATTGGGGATATGGTGGAAGAAGAAGAAAATTCTGATATTCGTTATATTCGGGAGTCACGCTGCTATGATTTTCCTTTTTGTTTGTTGTAGAGGTGTGCCCTCGCGTTGAAGATGTTGGGGGCTGGGATACCCTGTCTACAGGTAGCTATATCCGCCGGTAGCAAGGTAGCAAGGTAGCAAGGAGCGCAGAATTGATAAACCGAGCCGATGAACAAAATCAGGGTAACAGACCAGGTCAGCAAATGTCTGATGATGATGATGATGATGATGATGACAGATGCAGAGGTGAAGATTGACAACACAAACAGACGAACACGACCTGCTGATCAACATTTTGCAGTGGCAGGCTGACCGCTGGCAACGTTCCCCACCAAACTTCTCGCCAGCTGCCAGCTGCCAGCTGCCAGCTGCCCGCCCACTTCCACCGGCTTCGGGCGCCTCCATCTGCTTCTGCGAAGCCAAATAACAGCAACCAGACCACACAACAGGGCAGTCCACCCCGACTTGGCACTGAGTCACAGTCACAACTGGAGAAGTAAAAAAAAAATCAAAAGTCGCATCCCGCCTACCACGGACGGCGTCATTCTCTCCGCCTGCTTCTTCTTTCCATTCATTTACGAGCACCCCGCGTCACCCTTGTGATCCGGGTTTATGAAATCTCTCGCCCTTCCAGCTTCTCTCCTCTCTTCTTCGCTTCGCAGAGCACCGGTTGCTCCCTATTCTTCCCGCCTCGCCGTTGCCCCTCGTCGCATCGCCGGCTTCCAACCCCGCCATCGACGCCCTCTGCACGCCGCGCGACCACCACCGCCACCAACCTTGACCATGGCCGCCGACGCGTCCTTTGACAACCTGGCCAGACAGTTCACGCACCTGCCGCTCATCGAAAGACTGCCCAGCTGCTTCCCCGACATCAACCCTGTCGACATCTACAGAGCTCACATCAGCTCCATCCTCAGCGACATCACTGGCGCCGACAAGACCGTCATTTACCCTGTCCTGCAATGGACCGCCACTCTCGACAAAGGTGACTTGATGCTTGCAATTCCTGCCCTCCGCATCAAGGGTAAACCCGACGATCTCGGCAAACAATGGCTGGAGAAGGTGAGTCTTGACGCAGTCCTGCCCCAGCACCATCATTGGCACTGACACGATTCCCTCTGCAGTGGCCCGATTCCCCCCTCGTTGAAAAGCCCGTCCACAATGGTGCCTTCCTCTCCTTCTTCTTCAAGCCCGAGCCCATGGCCAAGACTGTTATTCCCATGGCCCTCCAGCGCAACAAGGACTTTGGCTCCAACCCCGCTAACGGCCTTCGCGACCAAAACGACCCCTCCAAAGGCCGCCAAAAGATTGTCATCGAGTTTTCGAGCCCTAATATCGCCAAGCCTTTCCACGCTGGCCACTTGAGAAGCACCATCATCGGTGGCTTCCTCGCTAATCTCTACCGAAGCGCGGGCTGGGACGTCGCTACCGTCAACTACCTGGGTGACTGGGGTAAGCAGTACGGTGTCCTTGCTCTTGGTTTTGAAAAGTACGGCAGCGAGGACGAGCTTGTCAAGGACCCCATCAACCATCTCTTCACCGTCTACGTCAAGATCAGCAAGGAAGTCGCTGAGGAGAAGGAGCAGGCGGAGAAGCTCAAGGCAGAGGGCAAGGAGGAGGAGGCGCAGGCTATCCTCGACAATGGTGTTGACGAAAAGGCCCGCAGCTACTTCAAGAAGATGACCGAGGGCGACGAGCAAGCCATTGCTCTGTGGAAGCGTTTCCGTGACTACAGCATCGAACGATACAAGCAGACCTACGCTCGCCTCAACATCCACTTCGACGAGTACTCTGGTGAGAGCAAGGTTTCCGAGGATGAGATGCAGCAAGCTGCTGCCAAGCTCAAGGAGATGGGCCTGGCTCACGAGGACCGCGGTGCTCTTCTCATGGACTTTACAAAGAGCGTGCCCGGAAAGGAGGGCAAGACCCTTGGCAAGGCCATTCTTCGCAAAAAGGACGGCACCGCCCTGTACCTCACTCGTGATATCTCTGAGCTCATCAACCGTTATGAGCGCTACAAGTTTGATAAGATGATTTATGTCATTGCCTCGGAGCAGGACCTCCACGTCAAGCAGTTCTTCAAGATTGTCCGCATGATGGGCCGTGATGACATTGCTGATAAATGCCAGCACGTCAACTTTGGTCTCGTCCTCGGCATGAGCACCCGGAAGGGCACGGTCAAGTTCCTCAACGATATCCTCCGTGACGTCGGTGAACACATGCACGAGGTCATGAAAAAGAACGAGGACAAGTACTCCCAAGTTGAGGACCCGGAGCAAATCGCCGACAAGCTCGGCATCTCGTCAGTCATGGTCCAGGATATGAACGGAAAGCGCATCAATAACTACACTTTTGACCTGTCCCGCATGACGAGCTTCGAGGGTGACACAGGCCCGTACCTTCAGTACGCGCACGCCCGTCTGTGCTCCATCCAGCGCAAGGCGGAGCTCAGCGACGAGGCCATTGCCGCTGCCGATCTGTCGCTTCTCACCGAGCCCATGGCCGTCAACCTGCTCCGCGTCATTGCGCAGTGGCCCGACGTGGTCCAAAATGTCCTCAAGACGCTCGAGCCCACCACCATCCTCACGTACCTCTTCAAGCTCACCCACACACTGAGCACTAGCTACACCCATCTCCGCATCGTCGGCAGCGAGCCCGAGGTCATGAAGGCGCGTCTGGCGCTGTATAACTCTGCTCGTATCGTTCTCCACAACGGTATGGGCATCCTCGGCCTGACACCTGTTGAGCGGTACGTAAATATGAATATTGTCTTATATCAACCTTGACTAACATTCTTCGCAGCATGTAAACGAATCATAAAACCTACTCTGATAAAATTTTAACATGGGCCGCCGCCATGGTATAGACTAATTATTCAAGAAAAACACTTGGAAAATAAATGAAAGCAAAGGAATATTGAAAGGAAAATAAATCATGCTCTCTTTGGTGTATTCTATAAGTTTTTCTATCTTCATTCTACAGCTTCCTTCTACACCTTCGTCGATGCCAGCTCCCTCACCGCATTGAAATCAAACCCGAGATCCGCGAGCGTCTTACACTCCTTGCGTCGCTCGCCCAGCTCGCGACTCGCGACCTTGATGGCAAAGATTTGCGAGCGCACCCAGCGCGTCTCCTCGTCCCAGTACGGCGGCCTCTTGCCCGCGCCGCCGCCCTCCAGCCCTCGCGCCGCATCCGGCCGCGCCCGCGCACTCATCTCATACAAACGGTCAATGTAGTCCGCGTCCTGCGGGTAGCTCAGTGTGTGGCGCGCCGCCGGCGCGGCCTCCGTGACAAGCCGCCGCACCCAGGCGTCCCTCTCCGCGCGCGCCGGCAGGTCAAGCCGGCCGGCCCAGGCGCGCGCGACGACGGCGGCCTGCGCCTCGGCGAGCGGGAACGGGACGACGCGCTTGGGCACCGCGAGCACGGCGAGCGTCGCGTCCGGCGCGTACAGCAGGTGCTCCCACAGGTGGTCCGCGTAGGTGCCGTCGGGCGCCGCGAGGTGAGGCGCGAGGGACGTGAGGAAGGGGAAAGAGTAGTGGTAGCCGGTGCAGAAGACGACGGCGTCGAGGCCGGACTCGACGCGGCCGGAGGTGAGGCGCGCGGAGCGCGTGGCGGGTAGCAGCTCGGCGACCTGGCCGACGTGGCGCGACCAGGAGGTCGGCGCGGGCAGCGCTGCGGGATCGGCGCCGGGGGCACCCTTTTCGGAGATGAGCACGGGGAGCTGCGCCGTGGTGACGATTTGGTGGCTAATGTCGATGCCGGACGCCGAGTTGCCGACGACGAGGACCTTCTACGGGACAAATAGCGTGTAAACAAGATATTTATTAGGAGCTGGAGGGTGGGTGGTTCACATACCTTGCCAGAAAATTGCTCCGGTCGACGGTAGAATTTGGAGTGGATGATGGTGCCGGGATGCGCGGCCTCAAACTCGGCGATGCCGGGGACGTTCGGCACGAACGGGTCGCTGTAGTGCCCGCTCGCGACGACGACGGCGTCGTAGCGCTTCGAGGACACGGCGCCGGTCTTCAGGTGCCTCGCCTCGACCGTCCAGGCAGCAGTGCCGTCATCCGCGCTCGTCTTGCGCACGTCTCGGACCTGGGTTTCGAAGGCGATGAGGTGCTCGACGTCCCTGCCGTACTCTTGGATGTAGGCCAGGACCACAGGGTGCTCCGGGAACAGCGCCGTGCCGGGCGGGAACTCGAGGTCGGTGTAGCTCATGAGGCCGTGCGGGATGTTGGTCTCCAGGTGGTCGTAGACGGGGGAGACGAGCTCTACGTGCACCGGACTGCCACCGCCTGGGCGGTCATTACCCGCCGGAGCGCCGGTGATGACGGTGGCATACTCGTGCTCCGAGGTCGGCGTCGTGCGCGGGATGGAAAAGCCGGGTTCGCGGTCAAGAGGGCTCGTGTTCCAGACGCCGCCTGTGGTGGCGCGCTGCTCGTAGATGTCGATCTGGGAGAATTTCTTCTCGGCCATGAGGTATCTGGCTCGCGGATTAGACATGCGGCGGTAAGAGTGCGGGGGAGGGGTGAGGGACCGGTGGCCGGGTTCTTACTTGGCAGCGGCGAGGCCGGCGGAACCGGCGCCGATGATGGCAATGGACTTTACATCCATGCTGGGCAGTCTGAATCAAGTCTGGCCCAAGCCAAACGGTTCAGTAAGGTGTTGCGCATCGAGCCCTCAGGCATGATGGAGTTGCGGGTGTGCCGCTGGCGCGTACGGCGGGCGGGATGTCGCCATGGGCCGATGTGGGGGGTTGCATGCGCCGAGCAAGCCGCCGTGAGATTGTGCTGGAATTGTTGAGATGGACGGTAGTATGGGTTATCTGCAGTATTGCTTACTTTGGGTGATTTGGTGGTCTTGGAGATCATGCTGCTAGCACCGACTGGCACACTACACTGGCGATGAGCAACCCCCCAAGTCAGGTCTTGCATTGCTGCAGCCTTGGTCAGCCGAGGCTATTTTTGGGCCTGCATGCTGGTCGGGGCCTTGTATTTCACGTAAAGGTTGATGACAACAACGTATGTATCCGTACATGCACCTCTGACCTCGTATTTCCAAGGCCTCAATCTTGCGGTGCGGCGGCGCCAATCATCCGTCAGGCCATGCATGCTCTGGTGGCTTTGGTCTAGTTAGTTGGGTAAGGCTGACGAACTAATCGGTCGGCGTGATGAGCCGAGACGACGATGGTGCCTCAAAAGCAAGGTGCAGTAGTAGTGTCTGACACAGGTGCAGGCAGCCCGCCTTGATGCCGAATAGGGCGGGAGGGGAGGGAGTAGGAATAGGAAAGACGGGCGGTATGGCAGCCAGAGGAGAAATATCTGGTTACAAATTGTATATCATCTAGCGGGAACTGGCAGGAAGGAAGGTAAGTAATGAGGTAATAGTGAAAGGTCGCCCCGATCGACGCATAATCAAGAAAAGCTTGTTCGGGCGCGAGATGAGGAGTTTTCAGTTCATTCCGTGGAATAGGGACGCCTCTTTGTGGCTCAGCACAGCACAGCATAATCGAGTCGTCGATCAATTGTCCCGCGTGATGATTCTCCTTTCTTTTCCCTCTCAAGCAGTCCAGGACGACTCGGCAAGTGGTGTGCTAGAGTTTCAGAGATGGGCCGAGACGCAAGGGATGCATTCCTTGGAGGCGTTTCAGACGTGGATGCGACACGCTGCCAGCTGGCTGGTGTCGACGGCGGTCGGCTAGTCGCGTTCTCAGTAGACGATTGGATTTCTGCTAAGGTGTAGCTAGGTTTGTTGGCGATTTCTTCTACGCTCAAGGCTGGATCAAATGACTTAGACCAGGGGCCGATGTGGGTGAAGGCATCTCAACGCGTCACCAGTGACCAACATGTAACACGGATGTCATCAGCTATCATCCATTGACGGAGAAGCCGCCGGGAAAAGCAAACATGGCAATGCATGCAGGCGCTGCATGTCTTGTATTGAGGTTTTTCTATTTTTGTTGCGTGTTTTTATTTTACGTTGCCGTGGCTATGTACCAAATCGTGGACAGCAAGACCAAGCAAGTTATTGGTATGAGGAGTGAAAGTGATTATCTGCTTCGAGCTTGTATTAATTGACAGGAGGCACGGATGCTAAGCCACGATACTGTTTACTAGGGGGCATTTCAAGTCTGGGGCTCTCTGGACAGAATTATCTATGTACGTCAGATTCTAAATTTGAAGGGACGTGGTTGAAAAGGAATGGAGGCGGGAAGCGCAGCACGCGTGGCATTGGCTGGGGACAATAAAGCACATGCCATATTAATGCATGCGCCCGGCGGCCATGCGGCGGCGATGGCGAGGCAAACTGGCTGGCCGGTAGGGGCATTTACTGATCGACAAAGCCTTGTAGGTAACGAATAAAATAGCGCTGTAATGTACAGATTATTACCTGCGAATTAAACTGCCAACCAGCAACGTTCAAAGCCCACCACCCACCAAGTCGCCCCCTCCCCACACAGCCAGCCCAGAGCACCGCCCAGTTCGCCCGCCCTGCCCACTTCCCACTTCTCCACTGTTTTTAATATACTGGCCCCGGCCGGACGTTGGCATGCATGCAAGCAGGCTGACCGACCACTGTAAATTTAGCAGCGCTCGCAGCTGGGAATACGAGGCAGAAGAAGCGGATGAAAATGACAGAAAATAGAAAAATATGCAAAGCACAGAAATGCCACCGGAAGTAGCGAGATAAACATATTCAGCCAAGGTACATACCCGAACCAGCCCTCCCTGGTCGCTCACTCTCAGAGCCAACTACCTACATAGGTATGTATGTTTGTACGTTATTAGTTACTGCCTGCACCAAGCAGTTGCCGATTCGAGGTGCAATGTCATTGGCTTCATCGCCCAAACCCGCCACTGCCCCCCAGTTTCAACCAGCCACAGACCCCTGCACCCTTACCTGGACTAACTAAAGTATCAAGGTACCGTCGCTCTAGCGCGGTACACTTTTTAGTGAGGTACCGCTGAAAATCCCTCCCGTCTCTGCCTCGCTCGTCTGGCCTCGTCTGGCCTTGGCCTCCTCGTGTCTCTGATTCCAAGCGAAAAAAAACTACCAAGCTGAGCATAACTGTGGTTCTTGATTTTCTTTTTTTCTTTTTTTTCTTCTCGCTTCTCTTCTCCGTCTTTTCCCCCTTCCTCCATATTTTTCTTTCCTTTCTTTCGCTCCTTTGCAACCTATCACCGCCCGCCAACTTGCCTACCTGCCAGCTGTCGTGTCGTCGCTAGCTCGGTACATTGGTCCCTGGTATCCGTACAGCGAAGAAAGGCCCGTCACAGGTCATCATGTCCAGTCCCCTCCCTCTTTGTTTCATCCTTTCACCTCAATAGCAATTCTTCGCCATCCTTCAACATCATTCTTAGCGACCATCACCCTCGATAGACGTTCTATACCGCTCACCGCAGCCTTTCGCTTTTTTTCTCGACGACCTCGTCTCCTCCTCCCGACCGCCTCTCGCATCTGTTCATCCCGCTCTTACTGCCACCTCGTATCGACACTTGCCCCTGCAAACGACGACTCTTCCGCCTTTGCATCGGCCATTTCAAGCCCGGCTCGACACTACACGCACTGCAATCGCCTTCTCCTTGGGCCTACTAATCCATCGATACGATACCTCATCTCTTCGACTCCTCTTCCTCTGCTCGCCCGGCTCCTAGCCGACCCTCTCACCCCCAGCCATGGTCGTCACCAGGCTCGAGTCCCGCAAGTCGCTGCTTGGTGCCGATCCAGGCTTCGCCGAGCACGGCATGCAGTACCAGGAAAACTATTCTCCCAACCAGGCCTACCCTGACGCCTACACCCAAGACTACCCCAACGGGCCCTACACGCAACCGTCGCTCGCGCAGCCCACCTACGTCGAAACCGCCAACATGGTTGGTGACGACTTCCATCAGGGTTACGCCGGTCGCCAGGGCCTAACCTCGAGTCACGCCAACAGCACTCATCGCGACAACTTTGGCTTTCTCAAGCGTAAATGGCCCTCCGCTTTCATGGCTGTAACCGGTCTCCAGGCCATCATCTGCCTTGGCTTCGAGGCCTACGTCTTTGGCAAATTCCAGCTCAGCCTCGGCCCTCATGTCAACATACCCAAAGTCCAGTCTCAATACCTCACCATTCCTACCTTTCTCACTCTCTTCATCTTCGGCTTCCTCTACGAGCTTGTCATCGTCTGGGACGCACTCCGCATGAAGAACACGATTCAAGTCATTGGCGTCTGCATCGCCAACCTGGCCATGCTCGTGTATACAGCCATCCAGGTCGACCAGATTCAGACCGCTGTTGGAGTCCTTAGCGATTTCAACGCTCTTGGTCCCCAAATCACCGCCGCCAGCCTCTGGGGCGATATCAAGGCCTTCCTTGTCGCCATCCCCGCCATCATTGCCCTCTCTACCATCTGTATGGCCTTCTGTGCTTGGAGGCTCTACCAGGAATTCGCCTGGGATATCCTCAAGAACATTGGCGCTGACTACCGAATGAAGAAGCGCTTCCTCCACTATCAAGTACGATTCCTTTGCTCGGACTCTCCATGCCTTGCTCAATACTAACCAAATCACAAAACAGATTTACATTGCTCTCCTCAAGTTTGATTTTTTCTTCTTCCTTGGCTTTATCATTCAGTTCGTCGTCGTCGTTGCCAAGAAGTCCGATCCCGAATTCGCCGTCACAGTCGCCTCTATCCCCGTTACCATTGTTATTCTTCTCGCCGCCGCGTATTTCACAAAAAAGGAGAATAAGACGGGCATGGCCATTACACTCGTTTTCTATGTCGGTGGCCTTGTCTACTTTGTCTTCAAACTCGTTCGCATCTACCAGCCCGGCTACAAGGATTTCTACATTGCCGTCCGAAAGTCGTTGACGGCATTTGCCGTCATCACCATTCTGCTCATCATCCTCACCATTGTCAACGGCATCATTTGCATGCGCAACTTCGGAGCCGGTCTCAAGCCCCATCTACAATCCAGCAAGCGGGTCGAGGAGAACCCTGACGCCATGTCTTTTAGTCTAAACGACGTCAAGGCTGCTGTCCCCAACCGCATGACCATTGACTAGACACGGGCCATGGATGCCATTCATATCCGTCGACATGAATGGCAGTGTATAAAGAGAGACTTGCGTGACGACCTGACGACTGGAATGTGTTGGCCCAACTTTCCCCCTTTCGACTTGTTTTGTTCGATCGGCCACAATCAAGCGATACGGATCTTGAGCGGGCTCCTGCATCCGCCGTCCGCTTTTTTACGGTCCTGTCGTATCAATCGGTCACACACCTAAAAGAAAAATGATATCCCACACGGGCCTGCGAGCCTACATCCTTTATATTCCGCATAGTATTTGTGTTTCATCTGGAGGAAACAACTGGACATAGACTACGGTGAACACTTTTTTATTTGTTTCTCTCTTTGTTTGCCTTTTTCTCCCTCTTTGGGACGGGGTTTGTTTTGGAAATGGACGAATCGCTTTTTCTTTTCTCTTGTTTTTTAACCACGGAGCGTGCAGTAACCATTTAGAATAGCTAGTACTGATTAGCAGGAGGACGGTCCTCCAGCTAACATTTTATACTTTTTAACAAGAAAATGACAACCTGACATAACGACTTATCCCAGTGTGCAAGATAAAGTACGTGAGTATGTCAGCATTGCAATGAGCGTCATCTCTGAGAGCACGTCAACATAACATGCAAAGGAGAAGGCATTCACTATTGCGACGAGTGCAAGGTATTTTCACATCAAATCTCTCTTTCCAACTAAAAGCTCTGTTTTGATACGGGGTGTCTGACCGCTTGGATATACGATGATGAGCGAGAAAAACAGCGAAAACTCCGTCAAACTCCAAACGCATTGAAGCAGCAAACAAGAAGGGAGAGAAAGAAAAGAAAGGACGCGGACCTTGAATGGGCCCTTCGGACAAACAAAAGCCGATGCTAGAAAAGAAATGCAGCCATAAACCCCTTCCCCCAGAACAAGGCCCTGCGTGTGCCTGGTAATACATATCGCACAGGATGCATGCTGTGTAGTCATACCTAGCTGCTCAAGAAGAAAATGACGTCGCCCGAGACTCTCCGCCTTCTCCAACGCCTCGTCTTCTTACGTACATTCCTTGGCCTTCATGTATTCTTATTTTCCCTCTCCATTCTTCTCATCGTGCTACGACCAAGCGTACCTTACAGCGTGATCCGAATGGCATCTTTGATGTGTCCCTCGGTAGGGCAGTAAGGGCATTTGCAGCGGGAGCCCTTAGCAATGTTCTTGAGGCTGTCGTGGCAGATTACGTGGCCGCAAGGCAACAGCATCGGGGGGTTGGCCTCGGTTGTCTGCTCTTTACTAACGGGGCAGACAAATATGGGGTGGTAGATCATGGAGGGCGGGAGGGGCGTCTCGAAGGCGAGCTCGTTCTCCGTCGTCCACTCCGTCTTCTTCTCGCGCATGTAGGTCGTGTACTTGATGAGGCGCGGCAGCGCGATGGCGCCGGCGGTGACGGCGACGTAGAGCGGCGACTCGGCAGCGAGGCCGAGAAGGGAGCAGAACTCGCGTGTGAACGAGGCCGAGACCTCTTCAAAGGCCGTGTCGACCCGGAAGAGGCGGCTGTAGGGTGACGCCTCGAGGTTGCCCGCGAAGACCAGGGCGCAGCACAGCTGCTGAATCTCGCGCAGGTGGCGCGCCTGGAAGCGCCCAAAGTGCTGCCTCGCATAAAGCAGCGCACCCTCGTGGCCATTATGCCCGTCATCAGGAAGCCCGTTGACGGCCGGACCCCTAAAAAGCCATACAAACTGTAGCTTGCACAGCTCGAACTCGAGGTTGCTGCCCTTCGCTTCCAGCTGGGTGTTGTTGTCGTGCGCCCACCGGATTGCGGGCGAGAGGTTGTGCTGCCGTAGCTCGCTGAGAATATCATACATTTCGGAAAACTTTTCCTGTAACCCGCCGTGTCGGCCGTCGAGTTGCGCTGTGATGCTTTCAAAGCTGTCGTGGTCGTCCTTTCCCCACATGAAATCGTCTTCGTATTCATCCTCGTCCTCATCATCTTCGTCGTCATCTTCGTGCCCGTCAGGCCCGTCCATGTCATCGTCACCATCTGCGTCAACCTGCGACGGTGTGGGTGTCTGCCGGGACGAGTGCCGAGCCTCGAGGGGGTTGTCACGCGCTTCTCGCACAAAAGTTGAAGCCACGTCGAACTGGCCTTCTCGGAGGAGATGCATGACAATGGCGCGGTTGATCAGATCGGACTGGTCGGCCATGGCGTCGGTTTCCATGGGAAGATGGCGTTGTGGGAGAGCCTGCACGAGAGCGTCAGTTGACATGGCTTCGCCGGGAGTGTCGGTGGGCGGGAGGGTGCATCATGAGGGTCGTACCTTGTCCAGGGCCTTGCCAAATGCCTTTTGCGCTTTATTAACATCTTTTAAGTCTGTATTTATCGCTTCAAGCCTAGACTTGACGGGGTTTTGCAGCGTCGTCAAGGCCATCATTGTTCTGTGACTATCGTCCTCTATCGCAACAGTCAGTCTCCATCCCAAGGCCAGTGCATTGAGTGCGGACTCGTACCAGCGGCGACCTGTTCGCGGGCGGCGGTCAATAGATCAATGATCTTGTCGACGTCGTCGATTGCGGCAGAGAGGGTCGATTTCCTCATCCTGGCCAGCTCTAGCAAGAGCGGCCCAAAGGGCGAAGCGGTGTCGTCAGCCATGGTCGTGTGGTTGGCTATGGTATCTGGAGTGGTGGCGGCAAGTCGCAACGGACAAGGGTTGGGAGTGGCGGGGGAGAGGTGCAGCGGCCGTGAATCCCTCGAGGGGGACGCGGCCGATTTTTGAATGAATCGTGAATTCCGGCCTTGGTCACGGCATGGCCTATGCAACACGAAGTAGAGGCTCAAGATGTACGCAGTACGTGACGTAGAAGGAGAAGAGTTGGGTGCATTGGGTGTTGTCGACGACGCAACTGGGTGTACCTGCCTGTAGCTTGTAGCGAATCAATCGAGCAGTTTCCGAGCTTCAGGTGCCAGTCAAGGCGGGCGGGGTCCACTAACTGCCTAACTGCCAGACCGTGCTAACAGGTTAGTACAGCATGCCGCTAGCAGGTGGCCGCTGTGGCGAAGACCGGGCTTGGAGAAGGCCAAGTGGACAAGATACCGATTCCCGAATGCGGGCCATTGATTGTGATTTAATCTTTGAGCATGGCGATAGAGTGAGAGAAAGGGACTTGAGATTCGGAGCTTGATCGTGGCTTTGCGTCACATCTACTTGTACCCGACTCAGCATCGTTGCTTTGTGGTCACGCGGCATCTTTGGAGAGGCTCGTTTCGTGCAATTGCCCCCGTATGGTGATGCAACATGCCTTGTTAGATGCTGTGGCGGTGCGTCGAGCATGCACCGAGGCGGGCGCTCTCTGGGTGACGCTGTTAGTTGCTGCTACTTTTTTATTACCTGCAGTCCACCTAGGTACCTACATAGGTAGTTATTCATTGTCTTTCTTCTCCTCCTTGTGTACTACTAGGTACTACATATTACATACTAAAGGTACCTGGTATGGACGGGTCTTGCACTCTTACTTTAGTAACTCTTTTTTGCGCCAACTCCTTGTCCACAGGTACATACATACATACATAGGTACATACATAGTTATCCACTGTTCGTCCTACATAGCCTTAGTACATTAGGTACCGCCACCGCACCAAAACGCCAATGCCGTTCGTGTGTTCAGAAGCTGCCAATTACATCACATGCCACTCCAACTCCCGGCTTGGTGTCAGACTCGCCCGCCTCGCTCGATATGAGGACTGCGCCCGTGGTTTAGCACATTACCCGCACCGCTCGAAAATGTCGCTATAGTCCTGTCGTCTGCCTGCGAGGCTTTCCCTTCACCGCATGTCCTTCATGATGCCCATGCCCGCCGACGGCCGGCACCACCTCCAGTCCGCAGCACCTGCGAGGGCTGTCGACTGTACAACTTCAAGAGCCGCCGCGCGCGATGGCCCAACTTCGTCAGCGGATGCGCAAATCCAGGATGCGGCCGCCCAGGCCCTGGCAACCGCCGTCATGCCCAGGAGACATGTCATATTCCCTGATCCTGTAGCGTTCCGGTAGGTTGTACCAAACCGGCTGCCACCGGCATGGTGCTTCGGCCTTCACGCAATCGTCTGACGCTTCTCTACTCTCAGATTCCTCCAAAACGAGCCATATGTTTCTCTCGTCGAGCGTCAGACCTTCCTCTCGGGCTACGAGCTCTATCTGGTCGAGCAGTGGGCCTGCTCTCGAGGATCCCCTACTCTGGTAGTAGCCACCCATACCGGCGACGACAAAGATCGAATATCCGCCGGTATTCTCTCTATACCCGACGACAATACACTGTGGTCTGCCCGGCTGCAGCTCTTTTTCAAGGCTGCCAATCAGTACCACGCACGTCCCAAGGAGACTGGCATGGGTCAGCTGCTTGTTACAAACCTCAGCAACTTTCCTTCCTCCTTGACTGTTATCCCGGTCCCGGACGGCGACATTCGAAGACACCGCCAAACCTTCATCGTCAATGAAGACTTGAAGCGGCTAGGATGTGCTGGTCGATCAGGCCTCACCCTAACTGAGCCCCCCGAAGCGACCAGATCCAAGTTTCACCAGCTCTACAAGACATCCGAACGCATTCCGTTTATGCAGTCTGTGACGGAATTGATCAAGCTCTGTCAGGTTGCGCTATACATGTTTGACAAACTAGAGCCCGAGTACATTGATGGGCTCCTTTGCGACGTCACCGAGGCCGCAATCAGCGACTGGTGGACCGAGATTGGCGCTGAGCACTACAACTATGAGCCCTCTGATGGCATACTTGGTCCCTCAACCGTGGCTGCTCTACTTGGTATGCTCATGGGTGCCAGGAATCGCCTGAGTTGGCAGGGTGCTCCAGTTTCAAAAGATGTCTTCGACATTGAAAGCACAAAACGCGGCATCTCATATTTTCAGAAGTCGCAAAAGCTAGACAAGACCCGGCGGCTGGACAGACAAACCCTTTTCCGGCTCCATAACTCAACCGCCAAGGCGGCCGCCGGCGAAGGATGGGGTGTTCAGAAGGCTGTCAACTCTACAGTCACCGGAATTGGTGGCAAGCGAGGCGAAATCGTCATGGATATGGTGTCTGGCAAAGACAAGGGTGGCCTGGCCGACGTGGAAACGCTGGATCTAGACAGGTTCATCAAGCTGGCCTATGGCGAGCAATCAAAGTGGCTCTGGCACGGCAAGCAACGCAGGGCTCCGCTAGGATCGCGAGATTTGGACCACGAGTTGGGTGGTCTTTTGCTTGGGCGAAGCGACTTGTCCGGTCATGCGTCGCGCACAGCAAATGCGCTACAAGCAGACGACGAGGCCGCGTTCAGGCGACAAGAGGACCCTCAGGCTGCGCCACCGAGCAGGATGGGCACCGGCAATACCTACGATAGCGTGGGCGATCGAGACGGTGGCCGCAGAACCGTCTTCAAGAGTGTGGCAGGAAACGCCAAGTCCGGTCTGGATCGCATCAAAGATGCCGTGGGAGGCACTCGAAGAGGGCATGCGCGGTGGCCATCAAGCTCCAACAGAGACGACTTGCCTGAGAATCTACCGGGGCTAAGAATGGGCCTCGACAATGCACGCAGCTCCGGCGCCATGACCGGTCCCGCCACTGTGGGTAGAGCTTTCACCTGGAGGGAGAAGCCGGAAGAATACCTGGCAGCACTTCGTCGTGGAGATCCCGATGCGCTTCGAGGGCTGCAGGCTACCACCGCCTTAGAGCCCGCTTCTGCAGATCCAGCATTCTTTTATAAGAAAGAACAGCTAGGAGATGCACCAAGAGGCCTTGACACGGAGCAAAACCTCCAAGCTATTGGCGCAGAAGTTCGCGATCAAGTGTTGTCACGCGCACCGTCAGCTGTCCGCTCGGCAATCGATGAAACCGACTTTGAAGGACCGTTGCTGGAATCGGAAAGGACAGGCGATCAAAGGCACCTGAGGCTGTGCCGTCGGCATAGCTCTCCCAGCCCCGCCATGGACAGTAGTCATGCTCCAAACGAGAACCGGTATCCCAGACGGCTGTCGTTCTCCAATGCAGAGGAAGCCATACTCGGCTGGGAGGAAATTATCCCGATCAGCGACTCTACCGGCAATGATACGGGGTCTGCGGCCGCGCAGACCGAGCTGCTCGCGCAGCTCGCCCGGCAGGTTGACCTGCTGGTCAACGGCGTGGGGCCTTGGGTCGGGGACAAGATCAAGCTCGTGGAGACGCTCGACGAGCGCTACGGCAAAGACGCAGCGGAGTTGGCGGCGCACTGCCGGCAGCTCGGGGAGGCGTGCGAGCGCGTGCGCATGGACTCGGAGGGCATCGTCGCGGACGAGCGGCAGCGCCTGCAGCTCAGCATCAAGGAGCTGGAGACAATGGTGGCGCAGCTCGATTACGAGCTCAATGCGCTTGCGTCCAAGGTACACGAGGTGGAAGACGGCATCGTCCATTTCGAGCGGCAGGTGGTGGACATTGAGGCGCGCGCCGACGAGCTCAAGACGCAGCTCGAGACGGAGAGCTGGCTGCACTGGTTCGTCAGGACCCTGACGGGCGTGGGAACCGGGCCGAACATTACTCGATCCGTGTAGGATTTAAGAAGTTGTTTTTGTATTTTCTCTTGTCGATGTAGATTGATTGGCGCTCGCATGCGTGGAGTACCGGAGCATGGCCTTCTTCTTTTTTCCTTTGTTTTTCTTCTCGGCATTTACACCGGCAGGACCCAGCAATAGAAACTAACATCTGTATTTAATAGCTGCTAAATTGCATTTTTTTGTCATATTACTTGTAACGGTATACTTGTAACGGTATACTTGTTTTCCATGGTTGAGATTTCTATATCGTGGGTTTGGTGCCTAAAGGTGTGCATATCCAGCATAAACAACACCTCCTGCTAATTATACACATGCTGCACATGCTGCACAGGCATTGTCGTCATGTGGCCTTGATGCCCAACTTCCCTCCTTCATCAGTTTGTTTACTCTATTATACAATGATGTAACAATATTCGTTGCGTATCTTTTTTTCTTTTTCTCGTCTTCGGTTTGCGCTCGTCAGGACATCCTTATCCATGTGAGAGGCATAGTGCCTCCCGAGAGGAAGCGCCTTGTCTCAACGAAATACCAACTCCTCCTTCGCTTTTTCGCTCTTTAGAAAAGACCACCGGCTCCGCCAGCCGCCGCGCCGCCCTGCTGCGCGCCACCCTGCTGCTGCATGATCTCGCTGACCTTCATCGAGGTGTCGAGGAACTTGGCGGTGCAGCGGTCGAGGCAGACGGACTCGCCCTTATTGAGCTCGCCCTCGCGGTAGTCCGTGGGGATGCACTTCTTCTGGCACGACTTTTGAAGGCTGTGAAGGAGATGTCCCAGTTAGCACCATGCGCATTCGTTTTGACTCGCGGTCCCCCCCCCTTTCCCGGTTCGTTGCCATTGCCGGTCGCCCGGGAGCGGCGCGAAGCGCGTCGCATCGCCATTTTTGGCGGGAGTCGTGTTGCGAGGGAATGGCAGTCGTCGGGTGTGTGTGAGGAGCTTTGCTTACCGGTTGTAGGTGTCGGCCATCATGCGCATCTCGCCCTCGACGGCAGCAATCTTCTGCTCCGAGGTAGGTTGAGGGCGGCCCATTCCGAGGAAAGACATTGTGTATTTGGGGTGCTGTAAAATGCGCGTTGGCGATTTAGTATTGATGGGTGGGTTTATGGATGTCGAAGTGCTCGAATAAATGCTTCGATGCCGGACTTTGTGCTCTTCAATGGACGATGGATTGCGACGCAGCTCTGGAAGATCGGCTTCTCCTTGCTTGTCAAAATTTCCTAGGGCGGCGAACGACTCTGATTACGTGAGGCGGTCTTATCGATACGCGATTCAAATCCATGCATTGCATGCTACCCTTCATTGTCATTGCAAAAGAGTACCAACCTTGGAACCAGCCAATTATTCGCGTAATAAATGATTTAATTTGCCATATTAGCATTAATATGAATCTGGTCTCGAAGATGTGTCAAGACTTAGTAGTTTGTAATTGGAAAGTAAACAGTGGCTAAAAACTGCACCAGTAGTAAAAGCGACTGTTGTGGCCTCAATTTGGTTGGGTTGTACTAATCTGCTCCCTGCCAAAACATACTAATCAGAGGCAGCTGCGGGCAACGAGTAGTCAATAGTTACACAAATAAGCCGATACTACACTAGAAGATACCTCCAGACCGAAGATAACCTGCGTGATGGTGGAACTACAACTACCCGGCCCCGTAGAGTAAAGGTCGGAGTTCCTGTCCCGGAAGTTTACATGCTGGAAATCGTCAACAGCATCCAAGCCTGTGACCGATTCGAGGCGCGATCGTGCACAGCAGGCCATAACCGAGACAATGGGGCCCCAGTATTGGAAGCCTTTGAGGCTTTTGAGCACCTATGACTCCAAATGAGTCGTGCGCAGCAGGTCCTAGGTTAGAAAAAGTCCCGAACCTGGGGCTGGTGGCTGCCCCCCACTGAACTAGCTGGTAGCATTGTGAGGGGCAGCTAGCAGCAAGCGAGGTCGGGAGGAACCCCGTGTCGACAACGGCTTGGTTCCAAGTGCGCAAGTCTCTGCCTTCGCTTATCTTGTCTGTTAAGCGGCAATTGCCTGCTCCAGCGAGTGAGCTCCGCGCAACTAGAACTTTGTCACAATTCCTTTCGAAGCGGAGAGGCGTCTAGAAACGGTTGCGGAACAGCGTTGGTGTTTATCTGGATAGGCTCTGAATGGAATCCCAACAACATGGAAGCTGTTAGTTTATCATGAATCAGGAGACCAACTGAGAAAGCATCGGCACCAGGAAGGCTCACTGGTCTGGGAATGAGCCGCTGGGATTGCCAGCAGCTCGACTTCGTTCTTAGGTCGGGTGGAGTGAACGTGGGCGAGGGCCGTGAGGCTGGTCTGGGGGGGAACCAATTTGAGCGCCTTCTTAACAGGCGGACGAGCCTCTTTAGGGATAGTCATGCTGGAGATGTGAAAATGAGGCGTCGAGCGGCAGTAACACTGTAACTGTATCCGTACCGCTACCAGCAGTAGTTGGCGGGCGAGGCGAGAGCGACCTTGAAAGATGGGTGGGTGGTTGGGGCGGGATGCACAGTGCAGCGTCGGAAGTAGGTTGTACTGGGCTGCAGGAATACGGCGGGGTGAGGGTTGAGGCGAGATCGGGAGCGGGCTAGAAATTGATTGGATTGTATCCTTGTTGGCTAGAGAGAAGGGAAATGATGAATGGGATGAGGGAGGTTGTGACGACGACGATGAGATGCAAGCAACAGAAGATCTGGGCGTGAGGTGTAAAAGTCAAACAGCAGGTCGAGCAAACGGCTTTTGCTGGTGGTGTACTGTACATTAGTAGTTGGCGGCTGGCGGTTGGCAGCTGACAGCTGCAGTTGGCAGCTGGCGGGGTAGTCGAGCTGGCAAGGAACAGCCAACTTGTTTCCATGTAATAAGAGGTGTCAGCACTCGGAGCTTGCGTGTACTGTAGAGGTGACATTCACGAAAGATAGCTGATTATGGGAATAACACGCCTTTCTGCCCTGATGCGATGAACAAGACAAAGAGGGCAACTCCGAACGGAGAGACGGGGGTGGCGCGGGCAAGCTGGCCAACGGAATGCAGGCAATTACACTCTGGGCCTTGGTGGTGCGTCGACCGTGTATTGTCGTTCTCCAGTCTCCAGTTTCCCCCAATCCGCGACTCTGCAGCAGCCCCTCTTCCCCCCATAAGCCCCTCAAGGACCACCTAAAAGGTTTGCTCATCTCCAGAGGTTCGGCGCCTCGTGGGTGCATTAATTGTCCAGCCAGCTCCGCGGCCTGGCCAGCATACTTCGGCAGCTTTTACCTGCAGTTAGGGGGATGGAGCTGCAGCCTGCAGCGCATCTAGCGCATCCCAGTGCCCGCCTGCCGTATTTTGGACAGGGATGGCCTACCACACGTGACCGCGGACCGGTTTTCTGGCCAATGGCTTTGTGCCAATGGCGGTAATTCTCCGCTTTTAATGCGGAGTTCTCCGTTTAACTTGGGCGAGGACTCGTGGTGTATCCGTACCATGGGCACTTGCTTCAGCAAGTTTCTTTTTGCAATTCTCTTTTTTACGATTCTTCTTACTGGGTAAACTACAGGCGCTAGCAGTCAGTGCCTCAGTCAGTAGGTCGGTTTCTACAAATAAACTGCCCGCGTTTCTCAATTGTTAGTGGCAGTCCCCGCTCAGCTCGTGGCTTCAACGGCCCGACAGGTGCAAGAAAAAAATTATTGCCAGCCAAAACGACGGAAGACAAGCAACAAAAAGAAGAAGAAAAAATTTAAGGAAAAAGAAGAGACCAACCAACCAACAAACCAGCTAGCGAAGCCCGCTACCAGAAACCGTCTAACCAGACCTTGACCTTCCTTCGTTGCGACCCGCCGCTCCTTCGCCGTGCCGCTCTTCTGGCCATCGCCCATCGTCCGTCAACGACGCCTTGTCATCCTTCCTGACCACCATCACCGCCTCCCCTCCCCCTCCGCAGTCGGCCCAAGTCCTTCCTCCTCCAACTCCTCCTCCGCCCATTCTCCAACAGCCATATCTCCCGACCAGTGCGACCCGCCAACGCAGCTTCCTTTGCTGCCCTGATCTCTCCTTATAGCCTTTTGTTCATTCTGCCCGGCGCTGCATGGACGGGTCCTCTGTCGCTCGCGGGGGATCCGCCGCTCAGAGCCCGACAAGCCCGGCGAGCTCCCGCCACGGCAACGGAGCCACCAAGCGGAAGAGAAGCACAGGTGTTCCTGCGCATCTCGAGAGCAGCCCAGGCAGCGGTAACGAGGATGATCACGCCGAAAACGACAAGAAGCGCCAGCCTGGCGTCAAGCGAGCCTGCAACGAGTGCCGCCAGCAAAAGGTGAGTCAGCCCTCGTCCTCGTCCTTGGCCTCCGTCTGCCGCCACCCGTTCCACCCCCCGGCCACTGCCAACTGCTTCTACCTACCAATTTTTGTCGCCCCTGTTTGCTAATATGTGCCAATCGAACATAGCTCCGATGCAATGTCGTACAAGATCCCTTCCAGAGCTGCTCGCGCTGCGTCCGCCTCAAGCTAGACTGCAAGATCGAGTCCAACTTCAAGCGCGTAGGCAAGCGCTCCAAGCACGCCGAGATGGAGAAGGAAATCGACCGACTCAGACGAAACCTCAATCGCGCCCAAGCCCAAGGGTACGCGATGGACGACGGCGAGGAAGTTGCCTCCCCCGCCACCACCACCCCCAACTACAGCCATACCCGTCACCCCTCCCTCATCTCCGACGAGGCTGTCAGCTCTCTTCTCCATCTCAAGCGCGGGGGAGGCCCGTACGGCATGCCACACTACTCCCATGAGCTCGAGACCGTTCGCCTGACCGACGAGCACGTCACACACCTGTTCAACGAGTTCTTCGCCTTCTACCACCCGTTTCTCCCATTCTTGAACCCGACCCAGCCCCCGGACCAGTACTTCCAACAGCATCCGCTCTTATTCTGGTCCATTGTCGCCGTCGCCGCCCGCCGCTTCAGTCCAGAAGGCTCGCCTGACCTGATCAAGAACTTGTCTGATCCCCTGACTCGGTTCCTCTGGACCACCATCGGTGAGGTGCCGAGCAACTATTATGTTGTCAAGGCAATGTGCTTGCTATGCGCATGGCCCCTACCCACCAGCACCACCTCCTCAGATCCCACGCATATTCTGTGTGGTGTCATGATGAAGACGGCTACTGGTATAGGGTTACACCGTCCAAACAATATCCAAGACTTTTCACGAACGTCAGTCGAACTTAACAGGGAACAGCTGGCAGATCGTGTTACGACTTGGGCTGTCTGCAACATTGTTGCCCAGAACGTTGGGACAGGGTATGGCCAACCCGCCTCGACTCTCTACGACTGGACCTTGGCTCTGCGCCCGGGCGATGACGCCGCCTTCCGCTTGACCCCCGAACTCGAAGCTCGCCTACAGATTGAGCGGTTTTGCGACAAGGTCTCCAAGGAGATGTATAGTAATGCGAGTGATCCAAGGGGAGTCGCCGGCGACGAACATCGCGCCATGTTGATGCGCGTCTACCGTCGCGACTACGCCGAGTTGCATGCGTCTGTAATGTCCCAGAACCTCGGTCCTATTGTCGGCCTTCACCTGCGAGCAGCCGGACTGCACATGCGATTGGCTGGCTTCTTCGACTCGAGCAAAACACCAGGCTACATGGATGATCTTGTCGGACTGTGGCGTGCAACAACCAGCTTTCTAGATGAGCTTTTGGAGGCTGACAAGGTCACATCGCCACGTGATAATTTCGCTGGCACGTTCCTTCTCTACGCCACCAACTTCATCCAGCAGATGCTGGTCGCTGCTGCATTCACTGTTCTCAAGCTTATGCGATCATTCTTTGCCAAGACGATTGATTTTGACCGTGGCCGCAGCTTGTTCCAGCTGTCGATTCGAGCCATTCGGCAAACCAGCGTTGTGAACAACGATCTTCAATGGCGTTTGGCAGAGCTTATGGTTCAAATGTGGAATGGCTCGCGCCTGCAACCCAACAACCCAGTCTTCAATCGTGAGGACGAGACTCCAATTCAGATGGACGATAGCCTGCAACTCAAGGTCCGTTGCCGTCACAGCATGAGTCTTGTCTTCGACTCTGTCTGGAGATGGCGAGAAGAATACCAAGCTAACGGGCGCGGCACCTTGGAGGGTGGTAAGTTTTCAGGGCTCCAGGCTCAGCTAGGCGAGTCACCAGCCCCCATCACGTACTTGATGGTATCGACATCTTTTGAGCTAACCGATATTCTTCAGCCGCCATGAAAAACCCGACAAACCCGGACTCGGCCAACGAGTCGTCGGCGGCTTCCTCTCAGCTCGACAGCACGCTCCTGGCCGTGCCAACACCGGCGCCCAATATGCTCACCGCGACGGCCGCTTTGACGCCAGGTGCGACAGGTCTTTCCGCAGCGACGCCGATTACTTCAAGCACCATACTTGCCGGAGTCAACTACGACGGCAACTTTGACTTTTTCGATCCACAGCACTGGATGCTGGACGGTCTCTTGGATTTCAACTATTATGCGCCGCCCCTGGAAGGTGCCTAGAACGCACAGGATGCGCAACGCCGTCGCAGACGTCTCGGAAGGTGAAGTATCGGAATCGAACCACCGTGTATCTTTTTCCATGTCTCTTCATGTTTTTTGATCTTGTTCTTTTCAGGGTCATCGTAATACTGTTTTGCTTTGTCACTTCGTTTTCTTTGCCTCGGAGTATTGATTTGTATGTGTTGTCAGTTTCACGCCGCGTGGTAGATGTTGTCTACATGATGATCAACGATATGCTATATCTCTAATTAGGCGACTCACGCGCCCACGATGGTCGGTTTCAAAGCGTACCGCACACAAAAAGGAGGGTGATACTGGATGGAGAAGCAGTCTTTCCTTCAAGAAGCTATATATAATCGTGTCGTGGCGATGCATCGCACGAAGCGACTACTTTAGAGCAGCGTTGCGACTTTGCTAGCTTAGCTGGGTTATGGTTAACCCCGTCTCTCGCCTTGTCTAGGTAATTTGGGCTGCTGCCTTTCGCATTGATTATCGTTATACCCAATTTTACTCTTACTCATATCTATCCGTATTCTTACAGTGTTTGTGCAGATATGCGAATGCAGTTGAGCGTTACCCAACGTGACACAGGATGCATACTTTTTTTGCCACTACTTTGTATAATCGCAGCCTTCGGAGGTCGCTTTCAAAAGTCGTTTCTTGATATTTTTCCTGTTTTTCTTGTCTTTCTTATTTTTATATCCTTCTCATCCTTGTTGTCCTCTTTTATCCTTCTTACCCTTCCCATCCTTCCTATCCCTCTTATCTTTTATCTCTTTCTTATTTCTTCCACCTTTTTATATTTCTTATCCTTTCTATCTTTCTCACCTTTTATGTCTTTCTTATATTCCTTATTTATCTTTTGCACGTTTATCTCTTATTTCAAACGTCCATCTATTTCTAGAAATTCCTACTACGTAGAATCGTATGTAGTAGAAACGACATTTAAAAGGGACATCTGTACCTGTCTGTAATTTAGTTGAATTTGTTGATGAGTTATGACGAGCGGTTTTCTATGTTTATCAATCTCTGTCAATGTCGAGGTTCCCTTGTCCGGAGCACTGACTATTCGCTCTAAGACTCGTGTGTGTTGGGCTGGCTCTCGCCAGGCTTGACGTGGAAACAAGCGTCGAGTAAACCGAACGAGAGCGTGTTGAGGCTGATCATCCATTACATTTGTCCAAGCCGTCCAAAGATTTTATGAAAATTCTTGGATAACGTGAATGATACGTGAGGGAATTGAAAAGATGGTGTTGAGCTGTCTACGTGTCGCAGGAGGGGAGGCAAAGTGTGTGGCAGCGTCATTTGCTGTTCATCCTGCCCCCAGACGAGGCGGTTCTAGCAATTACTTGGAACGGGTGTCACTATCCAAGAGGCGCATAATTCACAGATCATAGCGCAAAAAATTACATCTGCATGGCCGTTTGCGTAATATCTCGGCTTAATTGCCAGCAGGCAGGTATCTTGTACTTTGTACATAGATTGCTCAACTGCAGGGGAATGAGAGTTTGGAAGCACACAACCCCTCCTCCCAACGTCTCTCTTTTCTTGCAGTGAATTACCGGTCAATCGAGAGTTTGTGCAACGTGGTTCAGGAAGACAGTAACCGCGCTTCTGCTGCTGCTGTGTTGCGTGACGTTACCTAGGCAGGCAGACGGGCAGAAAGGCAGACAGGGACTCGGTACAAAGCAGAAGGGTGCCGGCGTTGCACAAGGAGGTTCGGGAACAGCGCCAGCCACACCGCCAAAAGGGCATGTGCATGATCGGGGAACATGCCGGGGATACAAGCTGTCAAGTTTATTGGCAGTACGACAGAATGTGTGTCGAGCTGAGCCATGGAAGTCTGAAGAGCAAGGGGAAGAAAGCGAAAGAGAGAGAGATTTATTGCAATGGCAAGCATCACTGATACAATACAACTAGCTACATAATTCAGCTAACGTTCACTCTACTCTGATGCTTTGCGCCCGCTAAACATGTCAAGCTCATTCAGACGGAGCCTACATCACATTCCATACATACAGTTAGCTAGCTAGACTAACAAACAACATATACGAGTAGCTAGCAAACAAAGAAACAATCACAACTACGGCATAGTCGCGGTCAACGCGACGGTCTGGCAGCCGATGGCTGGCTGAATGGTCACACAGAGCCACTGCATTTACTTTGGACGGCAAGCTGCAAGAACAACGCATTGTCAGCCACTGTCATTGAGACAGACCGCTTTTTTTATATTAAAAACAAGTACGTTCCAACCTCTACCCGACTCTTTAAATATATTTCTGAACCGCAAAGAAACAAGTCTACTCCGGTTTTTGCCGGTTCGGCAAGAGACAAGGGGATGGCTGGGATCCGCTGTCGGTGGTCGCCCGCAGAGGCCGAGAGTCACAGGATAGATCGCGAACCGGACAAGGGACGATGAGAACAAAACGTAAGGGGAAACGACCGAAAAATCAAGGACTTTGTTCCTGGGATCGGACGTAGACGATGCTCCTAGCTCCCGAGGGATCAGCCCACGTCTCCAACTAAACGTATGTCCTTGCGCTTTTTATGTGTTGTCCAGGGGGGCGAACGAGCAAACTGGGGGTTGGGGGAAGAAGAGCATCGACGAAAAAAGAGAGTTAGCCGCGGGATGAGACCGAGATGTAGAGGCCGGGTCTGTCTGTGGGCTTGTCAAGAGAGCGCCAAGTTACACGGAAAGGACTGGATGCATGACAGGCTGGCAACGGGGGGCGTGTGCGTCCAGGCTTTTCTTTCAAAATTTCTCCTCAACCCCCATGTAGACCCGGTTAACTTTGTTTGGATAGAAAAGAAAAGGCGAGCTTCGGCCACGGACAATGCTCCTATTGCTGCTGCCTGGCCTGGCCTGCCCAGCAAGAGGAGGGGAGGAGCAGGAGGAGCAGGAGGAGCAAGCACTTGGGCTGGAGCCTCGATCAAATTGGGCAGGTCCAATAAGAAAACTTTGCAGTTATTGCATTGCCAAGAGGAACCTTTTTGTGCAATGGGGAGTTGAGAGGAGAGACAACTTGCTCGTTTAGTTAGCATGTGCCTTGCTCGGATGCTTAAGAATGTCGTCCATCCGTATGGGGCAACTGTCTCTGATGATGCTACTTGGATGACATCACAGACAAGTAAATTTCAAGTGCTGGAAAGGTACACATCCGTGAGTTGGCTTGGACTCACTCCGGAAGCCAGTTCTGGGACCCTATGAAACGCCCAGACAGGTCTCTCTCTCGCGCTCTCGCTCTCTTGCCCGAAATTAGTCCTGTTTTTCTCACACGAAGAATCTGCCTTGCATACTGTTGCGTAAATTTTATGGAGTTTTCTCTCTCTGCCAAGAGTGAAGTCATCTCGAAAATGTCGGTCCCATCACCATCGAACGCCGGCCGGGTCGCATCGTACGTCGCGGCCGGCCTCGAAAGGCGGCAGCATACGCCATCTACACACAACGTCTGCCTTGTGATCAACCTTGGCGGTTTCATGTTTTCTTCATTTCAGGAACTACATCTTCCAACCTTTTCGGTCCGCTTGCCATTATCCGCCTTTTCCAAGCCAGCGGCAGTCGCATGATCCGCACTAAATGCATGTCTGTTTCTGTCTGCCCGGCCTTGGGCCCCCATGGCCTCAAAAGCCCGAGCAGGGACTGGCTGGGGGAAGGGGGGGAAGGCAGGCACCTTGGTCTATTTTCGGACTGGAACTTTTTGAATCTTGCCTGGGAAGAGAGTTGGGCAGTCTGGTAAGACAGCAGCAGGCCAGCCCTAGTGGTTAACAGGGCCAGTAGACAGGGCCCGTTCACAAGGCCCCGGGGGGGAAGGCTCAAAGGTCCGATGGGAAAGGCACAAAGCACCTTGCCGTAGCGAGGAATTCATTGCATCTCGACTGCAAGCATACAGAGGAACTTTAGAACCGCTAGAGAGGGGCGTGTGCAGCATGCTGTGGAGGTTTTGTGGCTTCGTGCAACCAACACCAAGCATCATGAGAGAGGCGAGGGGGGAGGGGCCCTTACTCGGTCCCTTATTCGTCAGAGCAAAATTGAAAACAGAAGATGTCCCCTCTCGTATGATACACTGACTGCCCTCTGACACACATGTTTCTAGCACGCCCGGCGGGTGTGGGCTGCCTGCCACTCGCCGAGGGGGCGAAGGACAGGAAGTAAGGGGGTTGTGGCTTGCTAACGGAAGCAGATCGAGTCGGTAGTTGGTATACTCTGACCGACTTGATAACTGACAGCCACGGTAGCACAAGATAGGAAGTAGGATTGCTTGAGTTCTCGATTTTCCAAATATGCTTGGGCCGTTGGCGGCGACTCGCGGTCCAGCGAAAGCTTTGGTCGCCAGATCCCGACGACGAGCAGCTCGGAGCGCTTTCTTGGCAGGCTAGGGGGAATGGTACGAAGCTCTAGTGCCCTCCGTTGCGGAATTCATACATTAGAATAAGAAAGGAAAGCTTAAGATGCGGGTGCGAAGCCAGGAAGAGTGCCACATGATGGGATGGCTGGCGCCACTCAAGCAGTCTGAACAGCCGATACCACCCTGCCGTTTGACACAGACAGGGACGGGGCGGAATACATTGACAGCATTCACAATAATGCGACATGTATTAACTCAAAAGCTTATTTGCTCACACAACAGGTTGCAGTTTTGGACTCAGCAACCACCAAGACGACTACTACCACGCGTCTTCCGGTGGAACTAAAATGACAGCATAATTACGGTATAGAGTCGTAGTTTAGTATTCGGCCCGTTAGTGGTGAGCGGAGCGAGAGAGAGTCCAAGGATGGCTTTCTTTCTTGCCGCTTCAACGAGCGGGGAGACGCACTTTTGCCTCCCCCCCCTCTTCACAAAGTGGCGCAAAAAGACGCTCTGGGGTTACGGAGAAAAGCCAGTAAGAAAGTCTTTGAGAAAATTGAGCATTTCGCCAGCCCCCAGAGCTTCTTTCTCGGCAAAGCTCTGCGCGGAAAAGGCCGCTCACGTTGACTCGGGACGCAGCAGTTGATTCAGAAC